CTTAACCCTGCAAAATCCACTTCCGTCTTGATGGAATAAATCATTCGTTATGCACATGTTCGTGCCTCTACCAATGTCGTTAAGGAGTACCATTCTCATAGTCAATATGTGAAACTATTTTTGCTCCACCGAACACCGTTGGAAGAGCAGAATTTTGACATGAATGCCTTGTAGGCCGAATCCTCTCAGTAAACCATTTACTTTGTGAACATTTTTCGATGTTCTTGGATTCATGTTTGGTGTTTGTTTTAGTTATGGATAATCTTATTGATATTGCCCTCGAATATGAGTTAATTGAATTATGTGTTCTTGTATACATGTGACTGAATTCAATTAAATACATGATTAGGTATGAATGTGGGAAAGTTAGTTGTCTGGATGAATGTGACACTAACTTTATACCTAAAATCACATCTTTAGCAACGACTTCAGGTATATCCAACCTGATTAAGAACATTGGCACGCTCCTTATTGTATGAATGGTACTATATTACCATTTCAGAGACCTTATATTCTCTTCGTTCGGAAAGAACGTCGTTGAGTCTTAAGGATATTTGAGATGACAATGATCATGAATGAAACCGTTGAAGAAAATAAAGTGAAATATCCTTGCACCACCTCCAAAAATGAGCCTAAAGCTTTGCTTTGGGACCAATGGGTTGTCTCCCAACTGGGAAAAAGCCACATGTGGCTGGCCTGGAGCCTAGTGATTAAGCAGTTTATTTGATTTGGCATGACCATTTGGGACACTTAGGTCAAACAATGATGTTACGACACATCTCCTTACCCGAAGTAAGGATCTTGTGTCTACAAGTACACTTTGTCAAGCCTACTCATTGGGGAAATTAATTTTCTAAATCATTCCTCGCAAAGATATGAAATCACCCTCTTTTCATAGTGGAAAAGGAATATATGTGAAATAATACAACCAAAATGTGAACCATATAAATACTTATGGTTTTGGTTGATGAATCAATAAACTAGTCATATGTTTGTCTACACACATTGCTGCTAAACCTCTTGGCCGATTTTAAGGGTTCACCACCCTACTTATCCTTTAAAGTTCGGGAGACTCGATAATGCCGGAGAATTTATATCAACGGTTTTCAATAAAGTATTGCATATTGTTTGGGTTTATAATTGAACATCTAATTCCCATGTTCACCCCGAATAGCCCCGCATAGTGATCATAAAGCGCAATTTAAATGATCGCTCGAACCTTGTGACTGTAACAAGTTTTTGGTTTTTGCCTAAGGCTATGCAATCTTGTACGCAGCTATGTTGGTCCGCCTTGAGGTCCGTTGCCACCGAACCTATTCGATGTTATAGTTGGTTATTGGGTACGAACCTGATGTTTCGTATTTACACGTTTTAGGTGTGCATTCCATGTGCCAAGTTTCGCCGTCGCAATGTACCAATATGTGTCCTCAAAGAAGGATGTGAATCTTTGTCGATTATGGTTCTCCTTCACACTAGCTCTCTTAGAGCTTTTTCATGCGATCTCTTCATTGCTTATTTGCGGATTGTTAATTCAATGAGAAAGTCTTCTCGCTATTAGGGGGAGATAAGAACGTCAACGTTCCTGTAGAACGGCTCAAATTTGGGTGGACGTTGCCCACTGTGTCTCATCTCGATCCCCATACTGCACAAGTGTGGTATGCTAGTGGGATGAATTCTAGCTTTCAAAATGTTGCTCCAAACGCATTCCTCTGATCTAGTTAAAGTGACAATATCATATACCAGCTGTAAACATACATACAAGGATAAACATACTTAATGGATGTTGAGTCAACATTCCCGAAGGGTGTGCCGCCTCTGTTGGACTGTTTGGCCTTTGGTAGTTCTAGTGGAGCTTGCCGGATAAGGTGCTGAGCATGATGGTGCTTGGCTGCTTTGTGTTGCACAAAGATCGTAAAGAGAGTTTGAGATGAAAGATAAGAAATGTAAGGGCAATAGAGAGATAGAGGAATTTGAGAGAGTGGGAAAATAGGTGACACGAGGACAAGGGAAGAGGAGACCCATGTGGGTGGGTCCCTCTAGACAGAAAATATTAAAATATAAAGGGGCAAATTATCTAGAATAGTGAATTTACCAAAATGCCCTTCTACTTCGTAGTTCCGAAAAGTCTTTGTTCTAACTCTGAATTCAATTCTGATTAAGCCCACGCATTTGTATGGTCGAGTACTCTGATAATGTGTGTGTGTGTGTGTCTTTGGGTCAAGCCCAAACAATAATTAATTAGGCACAAGGCCTAATTAATAAAATACGAATGCAAACGAATAAGTCATCAATATTACAGTGTGCAACTTGCAATACCACTAACTCACTATTGTCTCGATAAACAAGTAATAATTCCCAAGAGTTCAAAATTACCATTTTGCCTTTCATTGGGAAATGTGCATAATTTGTTCGATTTATGCCCGTTCATGCTCATGTGTTTGTAAGAACACGTATCACCGAGAAATATGTGCAAAGGAACAAGAAGTGATAAGGACTCAAATGTCCACAAAGGATATCCAACTGTCAGGGGCATTTTTGTAATTTCACAAGGTTAGGGAATAAAATAATATTAAACTAGGAACGGGATGTCACAGTTGTCAATTTCATTTAGTATTGTTTTAATAGATTTAATGCAATATGTAATAATTTATTCAAAAAAAAAAAATAGAAAATGCAATATGTAAAAAACTATCGTGTATTCTAAGAATTTGGTTGGTTGCCTCAATAAATGGACCCCGCAAAGTGATAAAAAAAATTTAGATTGACATTATTATTTAACATATTAGGTGGATCAAATTTTTTTTTATAAAATGTCAAATTGTCACATGAGCCATCAAATATCAATTTGATGTTTTAAATTTGACATCTTATTTGGAAATACTCTTACCATTTCTCTGTGGAGAACTATTATGTAATCAAAAGATTGGATAAGAACAAGTGGCAAGACATGAATGGTCTAGAATTTTATAATAAATATGAGCTGATATTAATAATAAATAATGACATATGATGCGACGAGAATAATTGAAAATCTCATAAAAAAAAGTATAAGGTGATAATGATACAGAGAGGATAAGGTCCACAAAGCATTAAAATATGTGTAAATATATATGGGTGAAATTGCACAAATATAATTACTTTTCATAATGAATAGTAACTGTCTTTAGGCGTGTTGTCCTTACTCGACGGGTGAAATTTCTCTTCGGCCATTATCCAGGTGCGTCTCTCTTGAGAGGGATTGGTTAATTTGGTTGTTGGCATCACATATGTAATTGCTCCTTCAGTCGGGAAAGCTTTCTCAAATTTTATTCAGTCAAGTGATACGTACAAACAATTGTTTTAACCTTGGATTAGATTATTTTGTCTTAAAAACCTACAACTAGCATGCGGAAAAAAACGATCAGATGGAAGCCACCAACAGGCAATAAACAGGGACCGGGAGCTATCAGATGGACAACACAGCACTAATCAAGTTAAGTGGAGTATACGTGACTGTTAAGTTTTATATGTGGGCTAATCTAGAAGTTGAGTTTTACATATGAACCAATATGTTCTGATACAATTAAAAGGTATGCACTATCAAACGGAGCAATATAAATAGTAGTTAACTTCTTATAAACTCTTGCAAGGTTTTGTTATGTTCCGACATGGGACTTTTGGCCTCCACATCTTCACATGTTGTACAAATAACTTGTTTTCCCCATTAGTTTTCTTGTTAAAATATGCCAGTAAATTTTGAAAAATGGGACATAAAAGTACTCTTACGATATCCTTCACATGAAAATGTTTTCTGCAAGAATAAAAGGTGTATTGTCCTCATACGATAAAAGAGAAGTTAAGTTACAATGAGCATGGGTTTTCTGCAAGAATAAAAGGTGTATTGTCCTCATACAATAAAAGAAAAATTAAGTTACAATGAGCATGGGAACTGTAGAATTATCAGAGAGACCAACAACACCGATATTATCCCCAACTTGTTAATTACCTTCTGCAAAGAACGGTAAGTGTGGAGCTTTATCACAAAAGGCCTCGGTATTAGTTGGAATGAGGTTAAAATATTTAAACTCTTATGTTCTCATAAATACGGTCGTTGTGGAATATTTCAAGAGAAACTATTGAGGAGAATTTATAAGACAGATATTTAATAGACGACATTGATGTTTCATGTTTCTGCACTTCAAGTCCGCCAGCCCTTTTGCATTTGTTGCCTATTGCACAACTGATGGATGTTAATATTCAGTTTACAAGCAGTTTCTTCAAAACCAGTTCCCTTGTACTTCACGATTCTAATTCATTCGCTTCGATGATTGGAACGAAATGTTGTACAAATTTCGTAGCTCTAGTTTTAGAATTTTAGACAACATTACTCTTAAATTTCTAACTATTGTACAAGTATTCTTAGATACTGAGGCATAGGACAGTTTCGATTTCATTTGATTGAAAAAAATGTCTCCAATTAATCAAATCAATATTGAATCCTTTTAAATAAACATAGCTGCTTTCATTCTAATTTCAGAAAATCCGAGTCCATGACAACATGCAGCACTCTACTGTCTTTATTTACATTACTTTTATCTCCATCTTTTTTTTGTTAAAGGAACTCGACGGTACAAACAAACGTTGATATAACTTAAAACACTATGATATCTAGGGCAAAGTCTTGAACTTGAATAACACAATCAGCTAAAAGCTAAAAAGCACAAGTACATTCTTTCCTTCTTTTTAAAGAAACCTTAACGGTATGAGGAAGACTTTTATTGAATAAAATAAAAAGGTTACACTTAATCAGGGAAGACATAAACCTTACCCCTCAAAATAAAAAGAGAATAAAGAAAAGAAAGCTAAAATACAAGAAAATAGGGGAACATACATAACGTGAAACAAACTTACAACTAAACATATAGAAAGAGAAGGAAAGAAACCACAACAGAGAAAACAAACGACAACAACAAATGCATAACATTGTGACAAACTCAATATCTACGCCCACCACTTGTACTCTAAATTTTCCATATCATTTGTCTGATCATTCCAACAATCTTAAGAAACATATCGGGCCTCCTTGTGATCACAACATCTGCAAGAACTACTCCCACAATCAACCCACTTCCACATCCGGCCGAAACAATTTTCCAATCAAATTCAAATATTCCCGCTGAGCTAGAATCACCATCGTCTACGGTTGATGGTGGACGTTGAGGGGCCTTAGACTTTCCACATTTCTTTGGCAATGGATCTCCACACAACCCTGGGTTTCCCTCGTATGAAGTGATATTCAATGAAGTAAGCTGGGTTCCTTGTGGTATAGGACCTGTGAGATTGTTGTGAGACACATTGAAACTTTCAAGAAAAGTAAGTTGACTCAGTTGTTGGGGGATCTGTCCTGAGAGCTTGTTTTGTGAAAGGTCCAACGATTCAAGCATCGTCAAGTTTCCGAAGGATGATGGAATAGAACCAGTGAGAATGTTGTGGGAAAGATTCAGCGAACGAAGCTCCTTAAGCTTCCCAATGAAGTCTGGAATTTCCCCTTCAAATTTGTTGCTGGAGATATCAAAGGATGCAAATTCTTCTCGAATCATTGGATAGTATTGCTCCAAACCTTTTGTTGCTAGTGTGAGTGCGTAACCAGCATATCTAATAATCCTGGCTCCACTGGCATCATAAGCTACGTCTGTGAACATATATGCTGACTTGTTAACAATAATACTTGGAAACATAGATGGAACCGCGCCAGTAAAATTATTGTAAGACAAATCAAGAATGCGTAACTTGGGGAAATCGACATTCTTTCTAGATTTTCCAATCACACCGTAGAATCTATTATGGCGCATTGCCAAAAGTTTTAACTCTTGAAGAGTCCCCAACCAAATGGGAAAAACATCATTGAATTGATTGTTTGACAAAACAAGATACTCGAGCCTCGCACAATTGACCAATGACCTTGGTATCTGCCCGTGCAATTTGTTGTGACTCACGTCAATCATCCTCAAACTGCTTCCGCTGTTGTATGTCTAAGGAATAACTCCGTGAAAGGAGTTGTTTCCAAGAAGTAAAAGAGTCAGATCATCACTAAAGTTTCCGAGACATTGAGGAAGCATGCCACTCAACTTATTTTTCGACAAGTCAAGCAACTGAAGATTTTTCATATTGCAAAGCAATGATGAGATTTCTCCAGTAAAGTTGTTGTCTGTAGCTGTATATTCTAGCATAGTTGGAGGAGGTACCGGTAGTGATCCATGAAACATGTTGGACGAAAGCGTTATGCCTACCAGGTTCACCCAAGGAAGGACAAGCGGAAATTGGCCTGAAAAGAAGTTTCCACTTATGTCTAAATAGACCAAAGTTTCTATGCTTGTGTTCCACATCCAGTTTGGTACTTGGCCTCGGATTTTGTTTCCAGCAATTTCCAAACGCTCCAACCCCTTCTGATATTGTAAGAAGGATGGAAACTCTGTTAGGCTGCAATTACTCAATCCAAGAACGGTGAACTGTTGAACTGTTGAATTCACAGTGACAAATTCTAAACCGTTCCAACTTAATTGAAGTTGGAAAAGAAATTGTAGATTTTGAAACATTTGAAACTCTACTACGCCACTCAGACTATTCAATTGTAGATAAAGGATTTGAAGATTTGTGAGATTTGAAAATGACGCAGGAACTGAACCATTTAATCTATTAAAAGCAAAATCTAGGTACTCTAGTTTGCTAAAGTTGCCTAACCAAGATGGGATTGGACCAGTTAATCGACTCGTACTAATCCTAAAAGTTGCCAGTTGGGTAAGGTTTGCCAAGGAATCAGGAATTGGACCTCCAAATTTATTGGCTGAAATGTCTAGATAAGTGAGCTGCCTAAGATTCCCAAGAAAAGATGGAACCAACCCTTCCGAAAAATTGCATTGAGCCACATCGAAGTTTTGCAGTGAATGAAGGTTTTGAATTGAAGAGGGTATTGTTCCAAAAAAGCCAGCAAAGCCGACTTTCAGTGAGATGAGAAGACTGCTTTGATTAAATTCAGGAAAATATCCAGTCAATTCTTGGTTGTATCTCACACTAAGAGATTCTAGGTTTGGCAGTTGGAAAATTCTCACAGGAAATTCATCAAACAGGTGACAGGCCCTGAGGTGGAGGGCTGTCAAAGATGATAAATTAGCCATGGAATGAGGAATTGCCGAAGATACATTTACGAAACTGAGAGAAAGCACTTCGAGACTAGTTAAGTTTTGCACTAGGCTTCCAAGATCTGATGCTTCAAGTTTCAACAAGGGATAATTCTCCTCTTCTGATGACTGATGATCCTTATCTTCTGACAATCTATCGAGATTGAGAGCTAGATTAAGGTATGTCAACTTGGATAACAGTGAAAGTTCAGAAGGGACTTGACCAGAAAAGACAGAGGTAGAGAGGTCAAGATGAGTGAGGCTTGGAAAATTTCTAATGCTAGCAGGAATTTGAGAGTAATTGAAGTTATTGTCAGAGAGGTTTAACCTTTGAAGATGAACAAGGCGGAAGAGGCTGCTATTGTTGTTGATAGAGCCGTGGAGACAGCTGCTACCAAGATCTAGGCCAATCACATGACCCGTCTTCTCATCACACTCGACACCTTCCCATGAGCAGCAGGTGTTATTTCCTCCTTTAGCTGGTTTCCATGATGAAACCTTTGGATAAGCATCCGTAGATCTAGAAGCAGATTTGTCAATAGTAAAGCTGTCTTTGAATTGCAGCAGGGCGGACTTCTCCCCATCAGGGCAAGATGGATACTGCTTCTGCGAAGAGTAGGAAGAGGTAGCAATAACCACATGATGAAACAACAACAAAACTAGTACTAGTTTTGAAACCATGCGAATGATGGAGATATCAAGTAACCCCATAACAACAATCTTTTGATTTTTTTTGTTTTGCACTCTTAGCTATGTATGGAGTACAAAGTGACACAACTATTTATAGACTGGCATCAGTATAAAATTCTTCCGCAAATTAATTTCTAGAAAGTGATAGACACGGATGTAATGGGGACAAGTGCATCATATCTTCTACATGCGTAAAAGATGCTCTTGACTAATTGATTCGTGAGTCAATTTTTGAAGTCAATTCTTCAACTTTTGAGATGGCGTGAAATTAGAAGTTATGATATTTGCATTGACACACTTGTAAGGTTTTATCATATTTGTATGGCCAATTGCAAGACGTATCAACTTTGTATTTGGGTACTTCTAAATGTGTCTAAATGTGTTGGACCTTCATGCTTGAAATCTTTGATTAAAATATGTGTAATTTGTATTAGAACAAAAAAAAAAAAAAAAACAAAAAAAAAAATTTGTTAACAGGTGAAATGGGCGACCTATTAGCTTAATGAGTTGAGTTTGAGTGACCCGTTAGCTCAAGGGGACGGGTGTGAGTGACCCGTTAGCTAAACGAATCAGATGAAACCTGACCCAAACCCAATAAACCCAACCTGTACGTTTACAAGCCTAGACTCAAACCACCAGATAGTGAAGGGAATGAAAGTTTTGGACTCTCAGCCGCAAATTAAGGCATTAGAGTCATCAGTTTCAATTCTTGTAGTGGTATTTCTCATTAACTCAAGAGTGCAATTATTCTCATGTTGGAGTTTGACGGGTGTTGCAGTTTGAAAATTCAACTTGTTCTTTGGTTTTGGTCTATGTCGCATTTTTCAAACTGAAAGTCCTTTTCTCATCAGAAAAGAAATATCTCATTAACTCAAGAGAAAGCAAGGAAGAGAGAATTAATACTTCGATTTGGAGTTGCCACTTAATAATACGGTCTAGTGGTATTTCTCTTTACTTTTAAATGAGAGGTTTTAGGTTCGATTCCCCCCAGAGGTGAATTTGAACCATATTATTGTTAGTCCATTGTGAGACTTAGCCCACTCCCGCACCCCCTTAGTATAGATAATATCGTTTCTTAAAAAAAAAAAAAAATACTTTGACTTGGAGTTGAGGCCCCAACCATGGGGAAACCGCCTCCAACTACATATGTCTCTAGGTAGTGTAGCTAGTTCTTGTTGATACAATTTGTGGAACAAAAAATAATCCCAAAAATTTAGAAAAGGACACGTGGACTGAAACTTGAGAAAGACAAGATTACCCTCATTAAATGGGCAGAGCTCTCAAGTATTCCTATGTGTAGCTGAGCATCCCTAGAAGTTCAATCAGCGAACTACAACTACTCAAAACTCCCCCACTCGTGGCATGAAAAAAAATCAAAGGCATTAAAGATAGAATTAATTACCAAATCATATCTTTAATCCTAATTGAAGATCAACCATATCAAGTAAGGAATTCCTATCACAATCAATTATGGATATTCCCATCATCATTCCAAGATATTAACAATATATTATCTCCTAATTAAGATCTTGGAAACATCATTTCCTTGCGCATCCTACGGATGACATAATTTGGCCAATAGGAAGCCGTCATGTGTAGGGCAAATCCCTACACCATGACTGGGAACCATCTCTTATAAATACCCTCATCACCTCTAAATTTCGGTAAGCTTTTGGAACGCATACAAACCCTAAAAACTTGTTCTTTTTGGAGAAACTAACTTAGGCATCGGAGATTCATTTGCTGAACCCCCCTCCCCACCTCGTGGGTGGGTAAGCTTTAGGTCTTTGATCAAAGGTGTTGATTGTTTTGTAGGTACAAGTTCGTCAAAACAGAAGGCAGTGAATTTCTACTACCACACAATTCTTCCACACTTAAATGAGTTTCTATACATGTGTTTAATTGAATGTGGGATTAGTAATATAATTTCATATATGGATACACGATTTAATGCATGACGATGGATTAGGTCATGCCATAGAATGAACAATTTTTTTTAAAATAACTAACGACCTTTAACATTGGCATAGCAATTAAATAATAATCGACCTCGCGCTTGGCCTTAACATACTATTGTTGATCTTGTGCAGTTGCAAATATTTAATTGTCTTTGGTTTTATCTATATTGTAGGTACTCCGAGCTCACATAAGTAAACATTCGTCCAAAAACAATTTTACTAACGACTTGTAACTCAATTAGTTAAGAGCATCCCCAGTTTTACATAAGTAAATATGTAATTGTCTTTTTCTTATATTTGAATTCTACCCCAAGACAACCACAATTCTCATTCTAGTAATTGCATCCCCAGTCACCAAATTATGGCACTCCCACCCACCCTTTCTCTACATTTTTCACCAAGAGTGTATAATTGTGATTTTCATCCCCACTATGCCCTGGGCCCTTATTTTCATCTCCATGCATCTTCAATAAGAAGCTTTTATTTCATTCCCTCTAGAAGTTCCAGGGATATGCCACCTTTCAAAATACCATCACAAATTTTGGCATATAGTTCATCACTATTCAAAGACTAATCCAGCACCAAAGATCTAGTTTGAAACTCCATACCAAGTCAAATTATCGTCCTGTTCAACTTTCTAATCCCCAACTAACTGACAATATTTTCTGCAGAAATTCCCTTCGCAGAAATTATTTAAACTTCCCTCATTTCTGCACTTTTAAGAGCCTTCTATTTTTCATTACATCAACCTAACTTATAAACTACATCAAACCTATCCCCTCCTCTCACGCTCAAGGAAAACACAACTCCATTTTTCTCTTTTTTTTCTTTAATTGATGATCGCTGCCATTCCGCTCAAGTCCACATTTCAGCTCTCTTTGGTCTCCTCATAATTCCTTTCTGAACCCATTTCACTAAAACAAGTCAGTCAAACTATACATCTTTCTCAATAGAACTCTAATATGCCATTGCAACACCACATGCAAAAACTAGCTCTATATTCAAGCCTATTCCATACACTTTGGATATTACCAGAGGTATCAACGTCCAAAAATCCACTGTTTATAAACCTTTCAAATTTCAGACACACACACACATATATACTTATATATATATATATATATATATATATATATATATATATATCTTGCAAATCCTTTCCAACACTTCTTTCCCAAGGTATCTAATTCACCATTCTGCTCTGCTCCGGACTCAGGTTGCTAGAAAACTCAACCCAAATCAGTAATGAGATAAAAATAAACTAAAACCTGATGAAAATAAATTCCTCTTGGACAAAGAAACTCAAGAATTCTTTACAAGGCTACAAACAAAAAAAAAAAAAAGAAAAAAGAAAAAAAAAACTTCCAGTGATCTCACATCTAATTCAATCTCATTCCGCCAACTCTCTTGACTGTTTAGTTCGAAAACTTGCATAACAATAAAGGCGTGAACTTCAACAACTCATTACGAACATAACCTTAACATAGTAAATTAACCAAACTAGATTAGGTGTCATGGCATCATACACAATTAGGTATCAAATCATTATTGATAACAATGCATGAACGCAATGTAAAGCACTTTAACTATACCTGTTAATTCGTATAACAACAAACCTCGTACATCCCATTCTGTACTTATACCACTTGATCCCGAGCGCTAAATTATACAAACTTTCTACCAACCCGGAGCCCGGGTTGTGACACCTAACCGGGTCGGTTGATTATACAAACTTTCTACCAACCCGGAGCCCGGGTTGTGACACCTAACCAGGTCAACCGACCCGGTGATTGTGCCTAATCAACACCCGTGGAGCCAACAACGCCTGCTGGTGTGAGACCCTCTGCAGCAGCCTGAATAGAAGAGCCCAACAATTCTATATGACATGGCTCGATATCAACCGTCGAATTTTAAAATGTCTGATGATATGAACCGTTGAATTTTCAACAGTTAAAAAAATAAAAAGATCCTTACCGCCGGTGCATGTGGCGCTTTCTAGTACTCGGATTCAATACTACAAAAATCAAGTTGTCAGGATTAATTTGACGTTAAAAATGAAAAAAGGGAAATAAATTTTTTTTTTTTTATTCTATAAAAACCCAACCATGTTCTTGATTTCTCACACCATACTTGTCATGCCCCGATCCCGACAAACATCGAAAATCGACATGTGACCAAGGAAAAAAAAAAAACATTCGTTGAATAATATACACCATACAAAATAAAATACTTTAACTGCAACCCAAAATAAAAAAAAGGTGGCTACGTTCTTCATAATCTATTTACAAATATGTACATCCCAAAAAGAAGCATAATCTTTGCTTTACTAAGAACAAGTTTGAGCTGCTCAAAAGAAGGTCCCAAAATAAGGTACAAGATAAGATATAGGGGTAACCTAGCACTCCAAATCTCTGATAACTGTACTGCTACCCCACCTACGAGCCTCTCGAAGGCTACTCAGACTTGTTTCCTGTAAGATCAGTGCCTACACCATCGGAATGGTGCACTGGCAAACAACAACCCGGATAAGTTACTAAACTTGTGTGAGCGACAAATAATATAAAGTAAATGATACATTGATAATACCAGCTGTCATTCACAATTTATAAACCTTGAATATAATTCATTCATAAGAAATCGCCACCAAACCTTGCAAACTCCAAAGGAGTCACACATACATCCAAAGACTTTTCTAAATCAACACTCCAAAGTTCTTGAAGCCATAATCACGGCTACATTCAAACTAGAGTTAGAGAGGCATCATCCGGCCGAAGCCTACGCAAGTAACCAAGTAGGTACTGACCCCCCAAAGCTGATTAACCAAGCAGAGTCACCCCTGAGAAAGTAACCGAATAGGTAGTGACCCCCCAAAGCGGATTCTGAGAAAGTAACCAAGTAGGTATTGACCCCCCAAAGTGGATTAACCAAGCAGAGTCACTCCTACAACTATTGAGAAGTGATCACCCAATGCAGATTAACCAAGCATGATCACCTCTAAATTTGCATGGCCATACCTAGGATATAAGGATCTCCCAATGCGGATTAACCAAGCGCGATCCACAAATAGTATGGTCCCCTTACTCGGATT